ATCCGTCGTGACCTTGAATATTATTTGCATATTATGAGTCAAACTATTGTAGTATTAGTAGGAACTATTCTATTTTAAGACTTTTGATTGCTTGATTACAATTTTTTTTTAATGGATCAACAATTTAATCAAACAAAAAATTAGAAACATCTTAAGTTTAACTTATTTTAAATTACTTGTTTATTTAGATTTGCATAGCTTGATTACGAATATAAATAAATTTAAATGTCCTGACCTTCTATTTTTAAAGTGCTTGGTGGTTTGTTGATTTAGTCTTTCTCTTCTGTATTTCTTACAATAATGCAAATTTTAAAATTATATTTTGATTGTTAATCAATTTGCTATAAGATTTTTATCAATTAATCTAAATTTTCTTATAGTTCTCTAGAAGAATCTATTTAAACTATCCAAAATTTGAAAAATGGAAGTATTTTTATTAAGGTTTCAAAAATAATCTTTCCATGAACATCAGCCACAATAAAGTTTCTTGAATTGTTGAATTCAAAATCAAACATAATATCAATCGTATTGGAATTCATTTAACAAGTGTCACTAGTTTCAAACTTTTCTCTTTCATAAAAGATGTCGTTTATAAGTTCTGTTTTACCTATTTTTTTTTGATTCTCACTTAAAGACATGTTAATTATAGTATAACCTTAATCAAAAAAATAAAATAAATTGCTATTTAAAAGCAATAATTCTGTTTTAAACTTGAGCTTATCCAAAATGGGATTTTAATATAGGAAAGGGATTGGAAATTCCTTTGAAAAAAATTTCATTATTATTAGCCTTAATTCATCATTTGCATTATTGAAAAAGATCTGAAATACGGATTTTATATTGAAACATCCGATTCTATCTGCTAACTACCTATTTAATTATAAAATTTTATTGGCCAAAATTAATACATCTTTAGGTGATTCTCCTCTTTTAATTATATTAAAAAGTAATGGCAGTGTTAACTTAAATTTTTATGCATCTGTCATATCTTCAATCCAGTTCTCAAGAATCTATTTTTATTTCTATTCAGAGTATTCTGACAATGATATGTTAAAGTCCTCTAAAGGAATATTCATTTATTTTGGATAATATTATTGACTTGTTTTAATTCTTAAATACTCAATCGAAAGCATTACATATGATGGTTTTAAAATTCTGAACCATTCTTCATATAACTATTCATCCTGTTAAAATAATTCTTCAGTTAATTATAACAATTTATTCTCTAAGTTTTTACATAAATAATATTGCAATTAAACAAATTTATTTATTTTTGAAAAATGAACTTTATTTTTTAAACAACGAAAAATAAATGGGAAATCATAACATTAATTTATAAAGAGCTACCAAATGCATTTTTCCACTTTTTAAAATTGGGATTAGTCTATTTTTTAAAATAGGTTAAAAATGGCATAAATAGTCCATTTTACTGCAGTGAGGGAAATATTCTAACTTTTATTGACCATGATTAAATATCCTAAAATATTTTGTGGAGAAATTTCTGATAAGAATACTAATAGATTGTAAATCTTCTGAAAGGGCAATTTATTTTATTCTAAAGATAGATTTCAAACTTAAAAGACATTCATAAAATCTTAACTTGATTATTGGGACGTCAAATAATTTAGTAGCTCTTAAGCCAATTTTGAAAGTGTTTAATTTGGAAATATTTTATGGAAAATATTACTATGTTAATCTAATATAGCCTAGCCCCTTTCGCAAAAAAAGAATATAGATTTCTGGTCCGTAATTTATTAGAGATAAATTTATTGGCTTCTAAAACCATGGATGCCCTTAAAAGGCTTCCATAACTTTCAAGTAATTTTTTTAATAGCAAGTAATTATTTTCTTCATTAGGATATTCGGCATATATTATTCTCAGCAAATTTTAAAATAATAAAAAATCTAAATTATTTTTACTAACAGTTATTAATTATTTAATTTCCTTTTCTATTGCACATACTGCTTCTAAGAATGATGATTTTTTATCCTAGGTGATTATATGTAATGTATTGAACAAGTTTTCATTTTGATTATATATCCAAACAAGATTTGTAATTAGTTGAACAATTTAATCGTTTTATTGTATAATGTCTGATTTATAAAACCTTAATGAGCGAATTATTCTCGAATACTCTTAAAATTTGAGATAATCTTTAAGTACTATTTAAGTAAGTATTTATTTCTTTTCTTGATAGGCTTTGAAATTATTATCCATAATTTTAGTAAATTCTTTCGAAATTTTTAAAGATATTTCATCATCTATTTCTTTAACAAAATAACAAATTCTTTGAATTACAAATAAATATATCGTATCTTAGATATTATCTTTTTATTTTTTGAAATACCTATCTATTAATATCTGCTTTCTATCAGTTCCTATTTTAGGTAAACTTTCCAATTAATTTTTGAGATCGGCTTATAAATTATATTTGAAACAATACTTTTTCCAATAATAAAAGACAGTTTATACATATAAGTCATTAATATTATCATTTACATTTTCAATATTGTTAACATAAGATATAACTTAAGAGAATTAGCATTATTTTGTTGGAATCTAAATTAATGAGCTTATAAATTATTCTAAAGTTGATCTGATGTTTATAACGTCTTTACTAAGATTCATTAATAAAACTTCGTATCTTTAGTTTTTTTATAAGAATGCTTATAAATTACTGTCCTCCTTAGAAATCACTGTCAATTGTAAATTTTGTAAATATTCCACAAAAGTATGATAATTTATTGGATCATCCTTTTTTAAATTCTCAAAATAATAAGATATTTCGTATAATTATTTTTATAATAAGGATCCTATTAATTGTTCAAGTGTTTTTGATTCATCTTCTGTAAATATTGAATTACAATAGAATAGCTCTAATAAAATTTTCAAGATCTCTATTTGAGATAAATCATTTTTATCTAAATGATAGTCTAGTAAATCAAAAACTAATAAAGACTTAATTTTAAGTTTTATTAATTATGGTAAATTGGTAACAAGTTCATCTGGAATCTTATTCTATCTTCTATATTCAGGCATCTTTATCTTATCTAAAATAGATTCATAATTATAAGTTTTTCTGTCTTAATCGTATACCTATTAATAATCAATTACTTTCATTTTTGAAAAATTCCCTTAAAGCAAATATCCTCCTTATCTTACGAATTCATAGTCTCTAAAATATGTATTTAGTGCCTTAATTACTTCTTCCTTGTCAGGATTACTTAATTATTATATTAGTAGATTCAAATCTTCTAAAATATAATTGCTCTCAACTAGATATCCTTATGCTATCTCTTAAAAAATTTCCAATATCTTTTGCTTGATATTTTGATTATTTAAGGTTAGTTCAAAATTAACCTCTAAATGCATTTTTTTCTTGAGATTTTATTCTATTAAGAATTTTATTATTAATAGCTACTTGAAATTTACATGAATATAAATAATTAAAATAGAATAAAAATTTAATCGAAGATAATGATTATATATATAATTAAAAGCTACAAAGAATACTATTATTCGATTATAGTCAGGATATGTAGCTCACATTTTCAGAAGTAATGAAAGAATATTAAATGTATAAATTTAATCCCCTCTAACTTTTCTAACTTGTGGTTTGAACATACTAAGCCTATAATATTTAAGTTGTTAATGAAAGCTAGAATAGACAAGAAATCTTGATATTCTCCAAATTAAATTTTTAACATAAAAGGACGCTGCTTGCATAATTAAACCTAAGAGGAATCCATTAAGAGATTTCTTTTTACTTATATAATTGTATATCTCCTTAGAATCCTTTTAGAATTATATTATAATTCTTCCACTTATTTTTTTATGGATTTGCTTATCAAAATTATGAGCAATTACAATACATATAATAAATCGTATCTTTCACTATAGGTTTGGTCACCATTTAAATGGGATTACTTTTTAATAGCTAGCAGTTTGTAAGAAATAAATATATGGTTTAAAATCTCTATGGGGATTATTAAAATAATTCATACCTCTCCAATTTTATGTATTCTAATCAATTATCGAATAGTATTGACAATAAAGTTTCAGATAAGATAATCTAGTAGTTATTGGATTAGTATGCATATCTTGAAAACTTCTGTCTATAAACTAAGCTCATAGACAAATGGGTTTAACTCAGTAAGAATCTATTTGTTGTAACTATTTACTTTTAAAATAACATGTACTACTATATAAATGTAATTTATATATTCTTTAATCTTTTATCAATATTAAACTGTTTATGAATTTCAAAAAACTTCAAACCAAAAGTCTAATTTTTCTTGTTCTTAAAGATTATAATCTTAATATTGTATTTGTTTGAAAAATGGTTGATATTTGTTATTCAGAATGATTATATTGATTGAGTTTGATTTATTTATGTTGTGACGCTACTAATTATTAGAATTTGGCTGGATTAATAAATTATCAAATATTTAGTTTCATAAAGTTAATTTTATATGAACATGATTTTCATATTACTTCATATAATAAGAATAATCATAAAAAGGTGAACAATATTGAATTTTATAGGTTTAAATAACCACAAAATTAGGCAGCCTTTGCATACAAAATTTATACAAGTGATTCCTTTAAGTAATAATTATTTTTGTTATTCAACCAACTTTAATATAGATTTGTAAATAAAACTCGCACTAATTTGGTTTATTTATTAATAATATATGATAGAGTTTTTCAGATACATCAACAAATAATATTATTACAATTTCTATGGGAATAAGGGGAGTTGAAAATAATAATAGAAGGAATAATAAGTTTTCATATTTATGTAGATTCATAATAAGACTAGGTTTGTTAAATAGTATTTTGGCCTATGTTACTAATATAATCAAATTATTTATAAGTTTACAAGATTCTAATTCTGAAAAGCTTATTAAATTTATCTTGAGTATTTATGATCTCAACTTCAAATTATGACCATATAATGGGGAGTTGATGCAAGAATCAAATATAATTCTGCAGCATTCTATAATTTAAAATCATTAGAAAAATTGGATGTATCAATTTTAATTATAAATATATTAAATATTATTAATTATTGGAATAGTATAAAATGTAATATATAATATTGCATAAAAAATATTAAAATACTGTTATTTGAATTTCATTTCTAATACTCTAATTAAACAATCTACTTTTGAACTCGTAATGATCTTTTTAAATGTATCCTTACCTGTATATAGAATTATATATTATTACCATGTTTTCAGAATATTAATAGAAATTCAATGCAATTAGTTTTTTACTTTCCTTCTTAATCGTCATAATCATTTTTATAATTCTATCGACTTCAAAGTTATTAAACCTTAGCTAACTTCTAACTAACATTTTTGAGGATTATTTTATTTTTTATATGGTTATTAATTATGTTTGATAGAATTTTAAATATAAATAAATTTACATAAAGAAAATTCAATATATATATATGTATGTATAGCAGTTATCTGCATGAATAGTAAACCAGAGATACTATTTTTTGCTCAAGATAATAATAACAACTTGTTTTGAGATTGCAAACGATACACTTTATAAAATAACAAGATTTATATCGTATAAAAAATCATTCTTATGTTTCTAGGTGATGTTTGCTATCATTCTAACTAAATATATGGGAGACTATTATTAGATACATTAAACACTGAGTATCTAAGAATGATTATAGGATTTAATCATGCTCCTTCTTCTTGAAATTTTACTATGATCTCAAGATGATTCCCACCCCTCTAATAAAAATTTTAATTTGTTTGCCCACTTAAGCTTTGGTGAGAGTTTAATAAAATTGAATGAAAACCTTTAGAAGCAAAAAACTAAGGTAACTTTGAAAATAAATCTATCTTCAGAACGTTTGTAAAAGTAAATTTCAAATCTTACAAGGCTATCTTCTTGTTAAAGTCCTAAATTTATTGTAATTATACCATTATGATAAATTTGTCTAAACTTGGAAATATAAACTTTATTCTTTCATACTCCAAATTCATAAATTAAAAATCTTCTAAAATTGTAATCTAGAAAGGAATTCTTAATTCTATTAAAATACAACTAATAGAATTTAGGGATTTTATTGTTTTTTCAATAGAAACTAGAACAATGTAATTTAATTCATCTCATTTTTTCTGTTTAAAATTCAATTAAAATGATAAATTAATTTCATTCTAATTACATATTGATTGATTAGAGTATTATTTTATTGTATGCACTAATAAGTTCTATAACTTAAGATAAAAAATAATATAATATTTTTCAATTAAAATCTTAGCAGTAATCTTAAATTAATTCTAATATTGAACTAATTTAATATTAAGAGCATTGTATTCTCAGGATTAAATACAAATAATATATATTAATCATCTGCAATAGTCATTATTAAGTTTTCAGTAAAATCATTATCTAAAGATTTAGTTTTGGTCAAAATCTAATTAACATCCTAAGTGAGAATGAGAAAAGACTCATTTCAAAGCTGTTTAATCAAATAGTGAAGACTTTTATCAAACCCTTTCAATCATTAATAACTTCAAAGTATAATAAGAATTCTAATATAAGGAATTTACAATAGAAAATTAACTTATTATATTTTCTAATTATTATCTGTTTAGATCTAGAATGTGAAATTTAAATTTAAAATGTAATCTAGAATATAGAATACAAATAGGTTAAGGGTTTAATAAATAGTAAATTCATCAGTTGTGAAATTAAAGAGGAATTATAAAAATTAAAATATTGGATTATTCAAAAAGATAATCAAGCAGCAAATTAAGAATCATACAATCCTTTGGCGGATGTTTACGCTTTAGTTTTTATATAGGTGTTGCCAGAAATTAGAAAAGTATCGTAATATGGGGTTGCAAGTAATTGTATAATTTTAGAATTCAGCCTCTAACATTATTAATATAAATTATAAGTAATGTATTAAATTCGTTTATATTTGATATTTTTATGTAATTAAATTAAATTAAATTGAATTTATAATAATACCATAAATTCAGAATTTCCAAAATTAATATTAAAAAAGTTCAGAATAATTTTGTCATGCATTTACGTATTTAGATTTGTCTTGAACTACTATCCCAAGTAAGGAGATAGTTTCCATCCTAGCTTAATTACCCATAATTGTCACAACTTCCAAATTAAATTAGTTACTCGATTACAAACTCACCCTTCTCTAAACTCCTCATTACATTAACACTCTTTCCATTCTTAATCACTAAAAGGCCCTTAGCATTTTAGTATTAAATTGGGAAGAAATTACATTCATCACATGAGCCACACGATACAGGATAATCTAGAATTTTCCTATACTCATTATGGTTGAGATCAAATTAATACAATTACAAGTTTTCTTGGAGACAAGGTAGGAATATGAATTATTCATCATTAATAAAACACAATCTTACGCCATATTGATCTAATGGAATCTTTTATACAACTTGCCAAATTGTTGTGAAACTTGTTCTTTCTATAACAAAGATTTAATTATTTTTAGAACAAGAAATCAGTTTACTCTCTTTTTAATTTAGACTTAATGAAACTACCTCACTTTAATGTTCTGTAATTACTTATTGGCATGAAAATCCATTATATTTTTTCCAAAATTTGATTGTTGTATCTGCACTACAAGATATTATGAGATTGTCATCTTTGTTTATTACAATACAAAAAATCCAATCTCTATGAGCTTCCAATTTTTATACACAATTCCATTATTTATCTTGATACTATTACCATATAATAATGATTTCATCTTTACTTCCAGATAAAAAATGGTTAGTTTTTTTCATGAAATTTAATATACTAATATCAGATTTATGCTCGATTAATAATTAGATTTGATTCAATTTTCCTTTATCATGTTCGAATACTTTAATTATTTCTCTACAACCTAATACAACAAATTATCCATCACTATTAAATGCTATTGCATAACACCTTTTATCTTGCTTTATACAATTATCTTTAAGTAGTTTAAACTTTAATTATTATTTTTTTTGTTTGGACTATTCTTATACGATTGGTATTGTACTTAAAATTTGAGATTCTTGTTAATTCACACTTGATTATTAATTCTTCATTTAAATTTTTAAACTATTTGCTATTTTTTAAAGTTTTTCAGATGATGATTTGAATTTTTAAAGTAAGTTTTCCTGAAATACTTCTATTTAGATAAAACCAATTACTATTTGGTTTACTTTGTTAAGTTCTAATTCAGATAGATATTCGAAATCAATGTTGATAAAAGGGTAAAACGATTTTCTAATGCTTTCAAGAGCCGTATTGCAATCTGAAATAATTACCTAAACATCTTCAATACATTTCATTTGTTTTAACATCCATTAATTTAAAATTTTTTGGGGTATTAATTTTGTCAAATGATTAGAATGGAAGGGCAATAGCTAATCTGCTAGTTTGATAAATGCG